GGAAATTACTAAAATAAAGTAAATTAATAGTAAAAATAACTTAGTAAATGTATATATAAAGAAAACACTAAACTAAGCTTTTTAATTATTAGTTCTAACTAACTGCCTCTCTGTCTAGATAGAAGCATTTGTAGACTAGCTAGATTCTGTGCGCAAAGATGCCTTAGACTAACTAGACTAATAACACTTTTATATAAGGCCTATTTTTTTTTATTTTTTTTTTATTTTTTTTATATTATATGCACTTATCTTTTTTATTATAAGGATCTGTTACTGTTAGCACTATATAAAAAGAAAAAAGAGCTAGGGGATTATATAGCAAAGCTTAGAAAGTAAAAGATAAAGAAAAAAAAAGCTATTTATATAGTATAACTAGCCTATTCTAACACACAGCATTACTAAGGCAAGTCCTAATAAATAAAGTAGAGTAAAGGCAGAACATAATTAGATAGACCTACATAGATAAAAGAGAGGTAATGTGTATAAAAGGTAACTCTTTAGATAAAAAGAAAAGTTACTAGTGTCTGTACACAGCAGCAGCGTTGCAGCCTAGATACAAGCGATCACGCACAAGCAGGATCACATATCTATGTCACATAATGCTTGTGCGCAAACCTCTGTGCGCAAACATCTAGATATCCTCTTTTTTCTCTGTACAGAGGAAAAACAAGAAGAATTAACACTAGTTACCTAACACCCCTGTGCAATGTTTACACTGTGCAAACCTCTCCGTCTTGTACGCATTTGCTGACACTAAGTGCTAGCTAGCAGAGAGTCCATTTAACAGATAGTTAATTAATATATTATTTATATAGCGCTAGTAAGTTGCTAGACTATTACACAATCTAAAAGGCAAGACTTTACACTTATAGGTTTTATATTATGTCTAAAAAGTAGTATACTTTTTAAAGCTTAAATCTATTCTAATCTTGTTAAAGGCTACATAAATATTAAACTTAGTAAAAATTACTGCCTTAGTAAGTCTTAATAAGAGTTTGTCTATATGTAGTATTAGATACACATTCTTATAGGTAAAAGCGTTAAGTTTATAGTAATTAACATAGATACATAAGTCACTATTTAGTTTCTATACATAAAAGATAGGAGATGTAAAAGGGCTTTAACTTTACTTAATAAAGCTATATTTTAGATTATTTATAACGTATTTCTTTATTACCTTTAGCTTCTTAAGGTTCTGTTTGTACAACAGACTATAACTGTTAGGGAGAAGCTCTGTAAGAACAATCTTGTAGTTATATAGATAATGTACTAGTAGCTAGTAAGCTGCTGTGTAGCTAAATACATCTTAGTACTAATAGTATTTAAAGAGTAATTAGAGGTTTACTAATGCTTTAGTTTTACATTTAGCGTCTAACTATAAAGCTTGCTTGTCTTTAATTAACTACTTAATTTTATAAATAAAAGTTAAAAAGAACTTGTTTTTTTTATATTAAAATAAAAAGCATTTGCTAAAATTAGAGTAATAGTAGCTAAACAAACCTTCTTTAGACCTGTTCTAGACTTCTTAATAAATAAGCAGAAGAATAATTTAAGTGTCTTTAAACTATAGACAATAGGAGATCTATATAATTTTAGTAGCCTTAGTAAACCCTTAATGCAGTAAATTATTAGGCTGTATAACTACTAAAATTAGTTCTTTTCCTATAGTGTGTTGCGTTATTTAATATCTAGCTCTACTTTTTTATTATGTGTAGGCTAGGTTAATTGCATAAGCAAGGGTAGCAAAGGTTTGTAAGTAGGTAAATATTTACTAGGCTATATAATCTAATTCTTCTTTATATCTAAATAGAGTTTAAAACAACGTAACTATTTAATGCTAATAATGTAATCTTAGAAGCTAAGGTCTATAATAATAAAAGGGCAGTTTTAGATGCTTCTTCTATTAATTTACATGTGCAGGCAGATATACTAGTAGACAGAGACTTAAATCTAATCTTAAAAGCCCTTAACTATAACTTTAAATAGTAAGTGTTAGATAAGAACATAGAGGCATTAAGATAATAACTTAGTAGTTAGTAAGTTAATAAATAGGAAACTATAAGCGCTAGTATTAACTAAAGAATTTAAATAGACTCTAATGCTTTTTAAATATAAAATAGTAAAGACTTAAAAGTGTTTTCCTTTAAACAAGTGTAATAAATTAATGTTTAATAAATTATACTTACTTAAGCCTAAGATAAAGAGTTTCTCTAGGTGTTACTGTTTCTTATCTAAGAGGCATTTAGATTAAAATTATTTATGTTTATAAATTCTTCTTCAGAATCTTACTGCTCTACCTTTATTTTTTGTACCCTAGAGATAGAGTAGTTGCTAGTAAAATGTCCTAGTTTTCTATAATTATAACAGTTGCTAGGAGTTGTCTGTCTTTCTAGGGCAGATGTCTAGCTAGATTGTCTATAAGTAATTAAGGTAGACTAGGGTACTAACAGAGGCGCAGGTTAGAGTGCACTAGAATAGTATACTGCCTTAGATATATTACTAGAAACCTTTTAAGACTAATCTATACTAGGTCTAATAGTAGACTGTTAGGTAAGATTAACAGTTTACTTTAAAATAGTAGAAGTATTTCTTCTTTCTATATTATAGGCTGTTAGGTAGGCTACTATAGTCTTAAAGAAGCCCTTCTAAGTGTGCTTAAAACCTAAGTTTAGTACTTTTAAGCTAAGTAGTATTTTTTCTTATAAGTAAAAGAACTATTCTGCTTTTAATATAGACTTTTTAACAGTAGCACTAATAAAGTAAGCTTTAAAAGCAAAGAACACTTCTTCTTTACTTATTTTTAAAGTTTAAAACACCTGTTATGCCTCTGTCTCTTTATTACTAGTAATAAAGTAAGTTTATAAGAGCTTAATTATTTCTTTTATGTTTCTAAACTAAAAGTAATCTAATTTAGCTAGGTATCTAGGCTCTAAGTATTCTTTCACAATACTAGCAGTGTGTCTCTATACTAGCGCTATGCGTGCACGCTTACTCTAATAGTAATCTGCATTAATGTTAAGTCTATCTATAATAAAGGCTTACTATTATTTAAACATAGGTTCTTTGCTGTCTATAAGGTTCTTAATCTTAAGCATACGTTTAGTAAGGTAGCTTTAAAAGAGCTTAAGAGTGCCTAAAAAGTCTCTTGCTATTAGAGTAGCAGAGGTAATTTAAGGCATTATTATAGGTAATTTAGTAGTTAGTAGGGGTTAATTAAGACTAATAGTTTTTAATCTAGTTAGCTGTTTAATTTATGCCCTTAATTAAGTAACTTAGTCTTTAAGGGCTATGTTGCTTTAGTTTAACTTTAAATCTAGTAACGTACTTCATAGGCAAGTTGCTTACACACCCAAGTCGCTTACTTTTGCCAAGACCCCACTAAACCACCCTTCCTACACTAATGCATTCCCCACAACACTACTTAGACGCGCTAAAAGAACGTTAGATACAGCTTACGCTCTAAGCTTTTAAATAAGACATAAAACTCTTAAAGAAATGTGCTATAGCTATGTGCAAAGTCTTATAAAAGACAACAAATAACTACAGCGCTAGACAACCTTTATAAGCTAATTCTACAGCTAAATTACAGAGGCTAGGCAATAAAAAGGAGCAGGTAATTGTTAAGACTATACTTAAGCTATATACGCAAGGAATTTCCCCTTAGATAGCATTTATAGCTAATATAGCTAATTCTTTGCGCGCTAAGCGTAATCTAGGCTATGTTTGCATAAACTAGCCTAGTATGTTTGTAAAGTGTTATTTAGAGCTTAAAGTAAAGTTTTAAGTGCAAGTATAGTTAAGAGATATCTAGCTAATTAT